TCCTTCAGGCTGTGTAGAGTAAAACCTGCTTAGGCTAAGCAGATACCTAGACCCCTTCCCTACTCGCGGAGTAGCCAGTGCTTTCCTGTTTCCAGGTCTCGTTCGAGTTAGGCAGGTACTAGGGGTGGCCCTCACCCTTTTTTGTTTGTGTTTTTTTTGGTGCTATGGACAACGACGGATCACATATTTAAACAGATCAGGGCAGATACGGTGTGTGCTCTCACCAGCACCACTAGCACTGGAGGGGACGCTTCAAAAAAAAAAACAAAAAAAAAAAACACTCCATCTACTGTTAGCCAAAAGCCTGAGGAACTTGGGAAGGTATTTCTTGGCCTTCAGCTCAAGGCATGAGTACTGTCTATTCGTCTCTTTTGTCGAATAGAAAAGAAGAGAACTCTGTTCCGGTCTATATAGTAGGAGGAGGTGTGTGTGTGGGGGGGGGTGGGTGGGGGGGGTGCGCAGGGGCCGTTCTAATGTTTTTGGTATGGGTCCAATTTTAAGGGATGTCCTGTAGGCTTCTCCCAATCCACCTGCCCAAGAAAAACGGGATGTCCCGAAGGACATAGCCATGAATCTGTGCAGTTGTGCCATTAGACCTTGTATAGTATGGGCTTTTCTTTTTGTGTGGCATTAGACTTTGTATAGTATGGCCTTTTCTTTTTGTATAATATGTGGCCTACCCTCTTCCCCCGAGCTGCTCCATTATTTGGCAATCTGAGTGGTCGTATCAAGTGGCCTCTTTTAGGGGCCCTCGTCGTTTTACTTATTCCTAACTCGAAAATACGGTTGATACGAAGTATTGCCTTTTGCACCTCTTTGTTCCTATTTTAATTGGAGCGCCTGATATGGCCTTTAGCTCAGAGTCAATGAATGCAAAACACAAAAACAAATAAACAGTAGTAAAAAAAAAAGGATCGAAGCGTGTGTCTGGAATGTATGCAAACCCTGTTCGAGTCCAGATACGGCCATTATGTGACGTGATTTTGTTGGGGGAAGGATGGTAGTGCTCTAGAAGGTCCGACTTCATATTTACAGCAGTCCGCTTTCGCTACCGAGGCACCCTTCCTGAGGTGGAGTGTAGGGTCACGTATACCACGAGCGCTTCTTCATCGTCTCCTGTATTCCAGGCAAATGTGCTTTTCCTATATATATACATATTATATGATAGGCTACCACCCGGGCCGCCTGGGTGACCATAGTCAGAGAGGGAGAAGAGGACAACAAACAAGGGGCTGTGACAAACTGTTTCGTCGGAGTATATATATATATATTTTAGGAGCCATGGCCTTGAGATATCATCATCGAATTGATCGGCCCCTTGGTAATTCAGAGTTACGGACTATCATTCATCTTCTTCCAGTGGTGTTCGAGCTCAGCACCTGGTCTGTATTTCAACAGTTCGGGGGTGTAGCAACTAAGCAAGGCCAGGGTTGCCATAATATATATACAGATACAGATATATATTCTACGCCACATATCTTCTGGAAGCTGTGGTGTTTTCTCCTAGGATATAGTCTGTGGTGGTAGTGGGGAAGGCGAGAGACCTTTCTCATCCGAGGCGTCGGATGGTGGAAAAGGGCGGCCGAGATTCGTCCTGAAATGCTATGTTTTGTTGCCAGCTGGTGTTGTGGATCCCCGACTGTTGGGTTGGGTGAAGTGGTAGGTCTGCGTCTGAGGGTTGCTTGTCCCATGTACAGATGTGTATCCTATGCCACAACATGCGGCGCACCTGAGCTTTTTCCCAGGATATGATTTTTTTTTTATTTTTTTTTTTAAAGCAAAACAGCCCGAGAGGATGCTAGGGGTGGTGCTGGTAAGAGCAGACACCACTAGCATTTCCCAGGAGGCTCCATCTATTGGTGGGGATCAGCACCTGCTGGAAAAAAGCGGGTCCAGCGTCCCTGAACAGTCATTTTTGGAGCGGCACCTGCTGAAAAGCGGGTCCAGCGTCCCATTTAAAATATCATGAATCACGGGGATTCAAGTTGTTGTCTGTTGTTTCTGTGGCTGCGATCATTTCTACTAAACCACCAGTACCTGGCCCAGCTATCGGCCGCGGCGCTTCCCGTATACGCGCCGCGCCATTTGGGCTTCGGCCTGCCGGACCGCATTGGCTGGAGGCCGCAGGCAAAACGAAAAAGAAAATTGCGACGGCGGTTCGGCAGGACTTGGCGCACAGCGTGCTGGGAGGCTCGGATTAAATAGCTGAGCGAGGTACTGGTGGTTTAACTACCCGGGGCTCAAACACCCAACCCATATAGGAGCCCCCTTTTAAAATATATATCATGAATCACGGGGATTCGAGTTGTTGTCTGATTGTCCCATGGAGCTGCTTGTAACACCCAACCCATCTAGGGAGCCCCCTTTTGTTCTATGAACCCAGCCCTGTTCGCCAGCCCCCTGTTCAGTGTTTCCCTGTCCAGCCCTTGGCACCCTTAAAGCCCTAAACGCTCATTAAACCCTTGCATGGCATTCGTGTTTTTTTTTTTTTTTTTTTTTTTTTTTTGTGAATCAGAACCTCTTGGTTCTGGCTCCTACCATTCTGGGGAGCAACAGTCCAGTTCCTATTCCCCCGGCAAGTCGATGGAAAGTACAATGTTTACCCACCCTACGATCCTCCTCGTTCGTAATCGTTAGAGCATGAAGGTCTACGATGAGTGGAACGCATTGCAGAGCAATGCAGTGCAGCGCAGCTGACTCTATAAGGAGAGATTATGCCCGTGCAACTACCTGACCGAGTGTGTGCTTAGCTGCTAAGCAGATTAGACCGTTATGGGATGGGGGGTGCAGTGCAGCTGAGTCTGTAGGGAGAGGTTATGCCCATGCAACTGCCTGACCGAGTGTGAGCTCGGCTGCTAAGCAGATTAGACCGTTGTGAGATGCGGGGCTGACTGTGTTGCCATATCTTGCGTTGTCCCTGTCCCGTACTCTGTATCCTTAGTGCCTACTTCCTTTCTGACCCCACTGCTGCTTTTATTAATCCCATCTATACAGCGATCCACCCCTTGGTCATGCTGTTCTGAGTTGTGTGGTCAGCACAGGTCCCCCCAGCCCCTGTATTGGGGAGGAGCCGTGCTCACCACCATTACTGCTCGGGTCCGGCGCAGGGCGGCCGTATTGTCATTGATGAGATACTGAGAAGACGTTGTGTCGTTGTCATTGTTGTTGTTGTCTGTTTTCTCTGGAAGTTGCTGATGTGCTTATGCTGTGAGTCAGCTGGACACCCAGTGGGGAGGAGGGGGCGGCAAAAGTGTAACACCCAGGTGGTGGTGGAAAGGGAGATATTTTTGTGTGCAGCTGTATGCTCCCTTAGCAATCGTGGCCTTTTAACCACCAGTACTTGGCCCAGCTATTGGCCGCGGAACAAAATAGAGTAGAAACCTATGTTACCAATGGTCCGGAGATCGGACGTCTCCCCCGGACATCTCCCCGGACGTAAGGTACCCCCGTCGTCCGGATTTCCGGACGATGACCTTTTGGCACTGAAAAAAAAAAATAAAAAAAAAAA